AGTGAACCCAGGTTGGCTCCTGGTGATTACTGTTTCCCTAAGTATTTATTCCAATTTCTTACACAATCTGCTCTGGAACCTTGTCCTGGTCTGACTTCAGGGTGGCTCGTCTACAGTTTTTAGGCTCCACTTCCTCTTCTTGACAATTGCAACTGTTCTCGGCCACTTAACCAGAGTTGGGTGTAAAAGGGGGCATGAAAGGTCGTAACTCAGCAGTAACAGGATTATCTGTGAATTTGGTTGGATGATTAGCCTGGATGACAAGAGAGCTGGATGTAGGGAAAGAGTGGCCTGGTGTCGACATTGTGTGTAGTTGCTGAAAATTGTCTTACACACCAGATGGCTCAAGCTATTAGCAATTCAGGTTCCAGGTAAACATTCTGGACACCAGCAGGGTGGGGTGCCTTCTCCAACATGCAGTTACTTGCTTGTGTCAATGACATTGCTTAAATCTGGGTTATGCTGGCATTTTCCAGTGGCTTAAATACATTAGCAATGGTGATGGCAAATGGGGACTTCTACACAGTTGAGCAAGGATCTGTTTGGTCTTTGAGCTTTCTATAAAGAGACAATAAAATAATATTTTGGCTTTTCCCCCCTAAGTTTGTTTTTCTGTTTGCCATGAGTGGGGCTAGCAATGACACAGGGAGCTTTAAGTGACACACAGTAGGAGTAGTCTGAGAATAGTAATAATAATAGTTTACCCACTGCTTTCTATTTATAAAACATTTTCATTTTTTCCTATTCTCCTAGTCCTCCCATAACCTTAAACTTTGTACAATGATCTCTATTTTACAGACATGGAAACCCAGAGAGAGAGGTTATAAGCTGGTGTAGGTTGTAAGTGGAGGGCGAAGACTAGGATATGTGGCAGGGGCCTCTTTTGGCTCATAATTGTAGGGCTCTTTTCCACAGAGCTGATATACAGAGCTGTCCAGTCCTGAACTGTGAGAGGAAGAGAGGAAATGTGAAGGTGGGGTGAGTGGCAGGGTGACTCGGAGAAACCTCACAAGCTTCTCGAGCTGGCCATCTTGAAGAGGAGCCAGGTCAGGGACTGAGAAGTCAGAAATTCACACCTGTGGAAGGGTGTGTGCTGTGTGTGTGTGTGTGTGTGTGTAGGGGTGTGTGGAAGGTGGAAGTAGAGAGAAGAGGCTATCTTGATTGGGCAGCCAGTACCAAGCGTTCTTTGAACTAAGTGTACACACTTCTCACATGTTTTAGTACCTGCTGTGGGATCCACTTCCTTCCATTCCCTACATTTTGCTCCCACAGTAGCTTGGTGATCCCAGAGTTAGAGTCTGTGGAAGTTTGATCCATATGCTCTATTGCAGTACAGTGGGTGGCACTTTATTGCAACCTCAGCATGCCCCCTGTCGAGGGTAGCTGATGTCCAGTGCTGTACCATAGCATTCTCAGTGACCTGCAATCCAGCTTCATCTCCATCATTTTTTTTTTACTACCAGAGGAAGCATGTAAGAATGAAATCCATGAGAATAATGTAATTTTAGGCTAGGTTTGCAAACTGGTGTCTTGTAAGTAGAATAGAGTGTTTAGCCATATCTTTTAACAAAAATTCAATGGGTTATAAATTGTAAAATTTGGATATTTCATATAAACATAAGTTTCTGGTTTTCCAAAAAAGAAAAGAAAAGGAAAGAAGAGAAAAGAAAAGAAAAGAAAAGAAAAGAAGAGAAAAGAAAAGAAGAGAAAAGAAAAAAGACCCAGAAGAATTGGGCCACACAGGCTCCTAATGCTGCATGGCAACAATGGGCCAGGTGAGACAGTGGCAGCTGGAGCTCTGCAGAGAGCTTGGTCTCTACCCTCAGCATGTGGGCTGAGGCATTGCCAGGAGAATCTCATTAACTAACTTGTGTCACCTGGCTGGCTCTGAGAGGCATGTAAGCCTTTTAGGCTTTGTTTGAGAACTACCCTTAACCGAGTATGAGCCCTTCAAAAACACTTCTAATCCACTCCATGGTGTTTGGCACACACCCATGTGTCATGGCCTAATCATTGAGAATGACTGCCTTCAGAAGGTCTGGCCTCAGGTCTCCCTCATGGCAGGCATCTGGAGCTATTGGGTTACAGCCTCTCTAAGCAGGTGGGAGATAGGACAGGATAAACATCACCTGGTCTATAAATGTAGTCAGTTATGGTAAGGGTCCTGGCTTTCATATTTGGTAATCAGTTATTTTTAGTAATATAACTAACTACCAAAATAAAGAAATGGAAGCTTAACATTTTTGACATAAAACAAATCTACCTAAATAAGTAAAATAAATGAGAACCATTGATGGGCCAACGAGGTGCGCATGCCACAGCATCCAGTGATATGCCCCCGAGATCGGCTATGAGGAAAAACTCCTGACCTCCTCAGGCTAAACTCTCCAGCTCTTTGCTAGCAGGGGTTTTCGGGTACTGTGTGCATGCAACCAATGGCTCCCTCTTTCACTTTTAAGAGTGAACATGGTTCTATTCCTCACTTTTGCGTTGTGCCCATGGCTACTAGGGTCAGATACTAGTCCCAAGACCCCACATTCCTTAGTAGTGCCTTTTATCCTGTTTTGTGATATTTATAAACTAGATGGATGTGGTTGGAGCCCTAGAATTTGCTAGACACTAACTCCTTTATTTAGAAGGTAGAAAGCTCACAAAAGGAGACGCGACACACTTCTTTATCCATCAAGCCCTAATAGATCCTGAAATGGGGCTGTGAAGCTTAAAGAGAAACTCATATTTTGACATGATATTTAACTTTCCAGGAAGGAATGCATATGCCAGGAAGGTGAGGGATATGCATCATCTTTTAACACTTTTTATACCTTCCATAACTTACTGTATCAGTGACAATGGCGAGGTGGCATAATATACTGCACTATAAAATCACTATATTGCTTTCTGAAAGTTACATTAGATTTGATCAGAAAAAGATGTTGAATTGTGTATCAGTGAAAACATTCTTCATCGTTTTATCATGGAAAAAAGCCAAGCAGTAAAACTTCCCAACGTGCTTGCCAAGTCCATTAATACATAAATCTAATGACACAAAAAGTAAAAAAATAAGCTTTATCTTACTCAAAAGTTTTTGTCTTATGAAAATAAGCCATATTTTCCTTTTACCCAAGAGAAGTGCTCTGGATAAAACCCTTTGCATTTGCTCTAATTTTGTTATAACATTACTCATAGTATTTGATGCACAAGCTCAACGTCAACATCGGTCATACCACACTGAGTTCTTTATTACCAGAAATACATAGTTTTTAAACCATAAATGTTCAGATTCAATAGGCAGATGGTAGCTACTGAATTCCCCAAACTGGCGCAAGTTAAATTTAAACACAAGTTGATGGTTCACACATTTGTGTAAGAAACTTGGATAAATCTGAGTTGAATTTGATGACATTTATAAATATTTGAACTGTTTTATTGGATGGTTGCCTGATCCTGATGTGCTATTTTTTATGCTTCTCCCTTCTTGAAGGTCTTTCAAGGGTGACACTGCACTCAGTGACCAACAGGAAATGCACTCACAGACCTGGATCTCTGTTAGCTCTTTCATTGACTTACAGGCTCTGGTTACAGAACAGGAAACGCTGCGAACTCCACGGAGTGTGAGTTTTGAGGAGGGTCTGTGTGAGTGAGGCCACAGGGAAGAGAATATCCTTTTCCTTCTGCTTGGATGCTCATTCAGGACCGACACTTCTAAAAGGGCATTCCAGGAAACTCATATCATAGAAAAGGCCACTTGGTCAGGGAATTTGGGGCAATAATAATGCTTGCAGAGTTTTTATTTAATAGAAATAATCTTCATGGTGGAGCAGTTAATCTTATTTAAGAAGATTAAGAGATTTTATGTAAAAATTCACATTGATGGTTCTCCTGAAAAATTAAAGCTATGATAATACAGCTAATCTATCCTCACACAGAAATAATGTCTTGTAGCTTCTCATTAGGCAGAAAATGAGCTCTCCATTCATCAAGTGGCCACTCCGCACTTCTGGGAGATTCGTGCTTGGCTCCTCTGGTGCCGGCTTCCCTGAGGACACACAATGTCTTCTGGTGTATTACAGGCTCTGAAGATTCCCTCAGTAAACATGTCTATTTTATATTGTGTACAATTTCCCCAAAGTACATCTGATTATGTAATATTTTGGACTGTAGGTGCTCTAGACAATTCTTTGAGTTTTTAGTTTCAATTTATACTTTAAAGTGTCCAGATGAAAGTCAGTTTCTACTATATTACTTGGTATTTAAATTCAAATAATTCTTATTTTCTGCTACCAATTTTATGCTACCTTCTGACAAATATTTGTGAAAGCATTTGGAAAGCTTAGATTTTGCAATGAAGATTTCATTTGCATTTCTGGACGATTTTGTAAGCATTCAAGGTGTAGAATCAACCTGTCTAGTTAGAGTGTTTTCACATTCAATCAAACCTCAAGCTACATGGCAGAGATGAAGGAGCTTCTGGATTTAACCTGAGGTTCAACGTTAAAACGTCCAGATGACGGGACCCACTGTGCTGCTGATCTAATACGAGGCTCTCACAACATGCATTGCAGAAAAGGCTTTGGAGAAAAAACCAGATATACTTGCGTATGTATATGGTAAGTAATAGGAGTGTATAGTACTATTATGCTACCCTCGTAAACTAGAACTTAAGTAGGTATTTCCTTCGTATAAGCATCAGCTGCGTAATTCTCAAAGAGATGGGCAATAATTGCTTTTTGGGGAGGCGAGCCCCATATGCACCATTCAATTGCTCACTTTGAAAGCCCCCAAATGATATTTGACTTTTCATCTTGCTAGCTGAGGACACTGCAGTTATAATAATGGGTTTCTGGTTTTTCCAATGTTAGGGTTGGAAAGCATGCTTTTACGGCTGCAAGTATTTCATGGAAAAAATTCTGACTGACTACACGTCTCTAAGTGGGGTGTTCTCTGGATTTGGTTGAACTGGATTCAGGAAAAATAAATGGCAAATAAAGAGGACAAGTAGGTTTAGAAAGAAGTTATTTACCATTTTAATAGGGCTGTCCAACATTTGGTCACATAGATTATTCTGAAACCCAATTGCTTTAATGGTCTTCCTATCTAACCAGAGAGATCTGAATACTCTTAGAAAAAGCAAATCAAACATAGAAAAAGATGCCATGATGAGACTTGTTGCTACAGCACTATACTTAATGATGCCAGACTTTGGACTAATCAAGGGCATTCCTGCAGTCTAGGACAGCTGTACAAAGCCTCAGGACACTGTATTTACAGGGCTTATTAATACAGGGATCCATATCCTACCACAACTCCGCCAGTCTTAACAGTGTGGTGGAGCAGCAATCTCCAGCATCCTCTCTTTCTTATCTGTGTAAACGCTAGTATTCTGAAAATATTTTCCTGGAAGAGGTTAAAACTGTTATTATATATCAGTTGAATATAAAGTATGGTTATGTAAGCCAAGCTTGCATGCTACTATTGCACAGGGCAGAAAGCAATAAAGCAGGACGCGTACTTCCTTGGGCATCTGATACAAACGGAAGGAAGCTCTTGATTCAGTATTGTGACGCTCAGATTCCAGGAGTCCACGGGGAGCTGGCCTTGCAGTGTGAGTGCCCTGCTGAACTCTCAAAAGGGCACGTCTTCCTTGCCAGTAGAAAAAGAAATGACAACAAAAAGCAACAAAGCAAAGCATCTAAAACTCAAAGTGATACACCAGCTGTCTCAAACTGTGGCACTGTTCATTTCTTGAAGAGAATATATAATATTTCAAAATATTATATATACATATATTTCAAATGGTACAAAGTAACTATAGATCCATATTAGAAGACAGTTGCTCATTCTTCATAATCCCCATAATTTTCATTGAGAAAACCCTTTTTTTCTGGAACCCACTTTCCATGGTGTTGGCCAAATCTCCAGGTCTTCCCATTATAGGATACTTCATGACACACAGTAAAAGCACTGTGATTAGCTGGTAACCAGTCAAAGTGCAAGTAAGAAATCCATTTGGCTTGTAATGTGCTAGATGTTTTAAATTCTTAAAAGGTATTTTCCGCAGAGTTGGTTTCCTTTATTACTATAATCAATGCTTCTGTTAGGTTCTTGGGTGAATCTGAAACCAAAGAAAGAAAGACATTTCAGGAAGAAAAGAACAAAATGAAGGTACAAAGGAAAGTGACCAAGCAGAAGATTGAGAACATCTTGAATTTTTAGGATGTTGATTCTTTCAGGTGATCTGAAGTGCAGAATGTTAGTGTTTAGAGCAGTAGTTCTCGAATGGTGACCCGAGTACATGGACAGACCACCATATTTTTAAAAATCAATTTATTAAATTGATTTTGCCGCAACTAAGGAGATAGACTCTCTGAGCCAGGTCTGACTGGCACTGGCTTTATGGGTGTGAGACTACCCAATAGCACAGTGCCCTGTGCTGACAGGGCCCTGCGTTTCGTTTGATGACCTTCTGCTGCCATCTTGAAATTATTAATTTTTGAAAAGGGGCCCTATGTCCCCATTTTGGACTGGACTCTGCATACTATGCCAGTGGTTCTCAACCTTCCTAATGCCACGATCCTTTAATACAGTTCCTCATGTTGTGGTGACCCCCAACCATAAAATTATTTATTTTTGCTACTTCATAACTGTAATTTTGCTACTGTTATGAATCATAATGTAAATATTTGATATGCAGGATGTATTTAGGCGACCCCTGGGAAAGGGTCGTTCGACCCCCAAAGGGGTCGCGACCCACAGGTTGAGAACCGCTGCACTATGCAGTCAATTTGTGTTTGATTAGAATTTGAACCGAGTATGTCATTGTCCTTGTCATGTTGGCCTGTTGAAAGATGTAGAGCGGTGGCATAAGGTGAAGTCATTGCCAAGGTTTTAGGACACAATACATTTTTCTTCATCATCTCTTAATTCTTTATAGTATTAGAAACTGAGTGTCTGAGTACAGGGAGTATATTTGGCAGTACACGTGAAGCTTTTGAGTTAGGTAAGGACAGTAATAAAAGACTATTCAAATGTGGAATCTATGAGAAATCACACATTTATCTTTTTCATCCTCTCCGTATAAATAACAGATCCTTCCAAAGCTTGGTTTCCTACATTCCAGTGGCATTTATCACTTTCTCTTTTCACTGTCTTATTATTTTTTTTCATCAAAGGAGAGAAAAAGTGACATTCACAAAAATAGCCTTTTGTTTGTTTGTTTGTGTCTACCAACCCATCACCCTTACTCCCACCACCCGAACTTGGTCCCTATCCTCCATGGAAGACCAGGGGCTCTGCCATGTCCACCATCACATCCTCAAGACCTTCATACACTGACTTCAGATAGTGGAGGCTTAAATATACCAATTGGCTAAAGAAATAAATGAGTTCCTTGGACCTAGGGATTAGGGATTATTGTGATACTGTGTTGGGATAAGTTGGTTCATTCTTCCTTTCTGCAATCTCCAAACATATCTCTCTCTCTCTCTCTCTCTCTCTCTCTCTCTCTCTCTCTCTCTTTCCCTCCCTCCCTCCCTCCCTCCTTCCCCACCTCTCTTTTGCTACCTCAATTTTAAAACATTTAATACAAAATGAAATGGAGATCAGGATTGTACAGGATTGTAAAGGCTCTCAGAGCACTTCAGACCAGGTGGAATTCTGAGAGAGGAAGATGAACTATATCAAAGCTACTACTTTATCTTTTCAATAATATAAAAACATCATGGAGATATGCTTGCCGTGGGAGAGGCACCGTTAGGAGGATGGGCCAGATTTGTGTTGGGCTGATCACATAAAACAGGCATTTGACCAGAAGGCGATTGTAGTTAGGTGTGCAATCTGAGTTCTGTTCACTTGCCCTGTTAGGGGAGGAAATTTGATTCTGCATTGCGCACTAGCTTGATTTTCTCACTGATTGAAAGACATTAACATATGGGGTTGTAGGAAGCCCAAAGTTGCATGACGCTTCCCCAGGTATTATACCACATTATATTTTGCTGTTTTAATCTGCTTATTTTTCTTTCCAAGTGACTTTGATTTTCTCCTCATTTCTTTTCCTTCCTCTTCCTATCCCCAAACACCCAGTGTTCGCTTTTCACCTGTGAATTATTGCAGCATTGCCAAACGGCTGATTTCCTCTATGGAGAGCTCTGTCTTTCTAAACTAAGCCATTGTTCCTGCATACACAGTGTAGAGATTTGTTCCTCAATGTATGAGCTATTGCCCTTCCAACTTTCAAAATTATATTTTTTGATATATGAGTTTAAAGAAAAGGAATAAACCAGCAGGTCTCTGAAACCATAGGAAAAATCTCTAGTTAATATCTAAGTTGGGTATTCTTGCAGTAAACTACCAACACGTTAATTTTAATAAAGCAATTGAAGCAAAGGTCAAGCAGGGATAGGGTTGAAATTCAGCCCTGAGACTTCACCCTGCCTCTTCGGGAGGTTGTCTGTCACCAGCTTTCTCCTACTGGAGGTGTTCTATAGGCGGCATTCACTCAGGGAGCTTCCTCATCCCTTAAGATTTATTCTTTCAAACCTCCTGACAGGAGGACCCTTACCTAGCCCTACCCCTCTTCCTTCTGCATCATATCGTCACCCTGATCTCATCTCCCCAAGGTTTCCTTCAGGTTGTGGCCTGTTATCCTGGCTATTCTCAATCGGGGGTCTAGGGGTTTAAATGGAACAGTGACTTTCTACTCTCTACCCTTTTAAAAAGAAACATCATAAAAATATAAATTAGATTATACTCTGAAGCATCCATCTGCATTTCAAAGACTGCTGCGATTTTTGGCTTAGATGCTTATTTGGGAAGTAAGCCCTCTAATAGGAAGACTTTGACAAACAAATACAAAACTATATAGGAAAAAGCAATGAGGTACCAGCAATCTTTTTTTGCAAATATCTTTACATTGGATTTACTTTTAAAAATTACATATAAAGGAAACTCTCAGTTGTCATTAACAATCTAGGTATGTTTCTTCATTTTTTTCCCCCGTAAGATCACCCTCTTTGAATCAGTCTTACATATAAGAACAAAAATGGTGATTTTTCTTTATTTTCCCTTTCACTTTAATAAGAACTTGAATAATTTATATAATAAAGATCACCTCTTAGTTAAGAACAGAAAATAAAACATGTGATTTAAATTAAAGTACATCTGTGAATTTAACTCTTTCAAAAGTTAGATTGCTAGAGTCCATAGTTGAAGTCTGTAGACATATCATTCTCTAATGGGGAACGATCCCCATTAGAAAAATTGGTACAAAACCTATTTCCAGAGCAGATGATCTGAGGACTCTTGTTGGCATGTCATTTATACAGAATGGAGAGCTCCTGTATGCATCATCTGGGCTTAAATGGTGCCTTTGTGTTTAAAAGTGTTTTTTTTTCATTGTGAATTTCTTGATAAGGAAGGGAGAGAAATTGTAAGTCAGTAGGAATGTCCGAGTCCTCTCAATGTTTAAAAAGTGCAGCCTTGCCTGGCTGGTGTGGCTTAGTGGTTGAGCATCAACCCTATGAACCAGGAGGTCACAGTTCCATTCCTGGACAGGGCACATGCCCAGGTTGTGGGCTCGATCCCCAGTGGGGGGGCATGTGGGAGGCAGCCGATCAATGATTCACTCATCACTGATCTTCTGTCTCTCTCTCCCTCTCCCCTTCTCTCTGAAATCAATGAAAAAGAAATGCAGCCTTTTTCTAGTGTCTTCTTTTTCCTTGTCTCCAGACAGACCTGAGAATTCTCAGCTGACTGGTGTGCCACTCACAGGGCTGAAGAGCAGCGTTTCATGTCCTCACTGGACATGGATTCATACCGTGGTTCTGCTTTCAGACCCAGGGCAAGGGCAGTTGTTTCTCTCGTACACTCAGCTGTCTGGGTTGCACTGCGCCCACCCGGGGTGGTAGCAGGCACAGTGCACTCCAGCCTCCATTATTACCATGAGGATTCTGCATCCTACTACCCTGATGCCCGGAATGTCTAGGATGTTTTTACAACAGGCCTGGCGCTTTTCCAACATACTCCACAGAAGGAGAGAAAGCCCATGGTCACAGGAAGGTGGCATTAACAAGTTCTGTGTTTTGTTTGTTGTTTATGTTCTAGCTTCCAAAGACTCTCCCACTTGGCACTCTTGGAATGTCCCATATTTAAATCTTGAAATGACTTGCATTATTGCTCTTTACTGAGTTCCAAGTCTGGAGGCATCATGAGAGCAGGGCTTATCTTCAGTAAAGGGTCACCTGTTATCATTTGGGATAGGGACTAGAGATTTCAGAAAATACAGGGTGGGCAAACGTAGGTTTACAGTTGTAATAAAAGTAGTGAACACAATAATTAATAAATAATAATACAAGAATAAACTCTGTGTTTTGTGTACTCACAACTATAAACCTCCTTTTCCCCACCCCTGTATATCAGCAACATTTAAAAAAAAATGGTGATCGGATTCCAGTCATAATTCTGGAATTACACCGGCCATATGCAGAGTAGCTTAAAATTAACTTCTAAGGCAGTGATGGCGAACCTTTTGAGCTCGGTGTGTCAGCATTTTGAAAAACCCTAACTTAACTCTGGTGCCGTGTCACATATAGAAATTTTTTGATCTTTGCAACCATAGTAAAACAAAGATTTATATTTTTGATATTTATTTTATATATTTAAATGCCATTTAACAAAGAAAAATCAACCAAAAAAATGAGTTTGCATGTCACCGCTGACACACGTGTCATAGGTTCGTCAACACTGTAAATCTAAGGACATCTTCAAATTATTTGGTAAAATCATTTTCAGGCAAAATGTAACCAAAGGCAACACTGAGAGCCACTCTCCACCAGGTAATTAAAATGGTTACGATGGATAATTTGCATGAACCAGGTTTCTTTCTGTAGGTTTCTTGGGTAGGTGTTTCACTGACATGAAATACAAGAATCCAAGCTGAGCTTTTTGGGTGCTCAAAAATGTATGTTAAAAAGCCAAGATGGTTCAGAAATCGGTATGGCCATTTACTAGCTAATGTGATCAGTACAGGCAACTAAATTTGACAGGCAAAGCATCTTCACTTATTTTACATATGAAAAAATAAGTGTTTAAAATGGTATCCTGTAGAATTACTTTTGTTTTCTGCATCACAAAGCTGCAAGAACCAATTTTATTTTTTGAAAAGATAATGCTGAGAAGAAAGATCAGGTAAGACTCATAATACAGGAATTGGAATCAGAGGTGTTTTCTAAAATTCGAGTCACCCTTTTGGAAGATTACAAGGTCAGCATTTGGGGATTTATAATTGGTAGAGTTTCCTTTAAAAAAATATCCAATACATTAAAATACACAAACACCTAACTACCAGGGCTGATATCCACGTGGCACAGATATATGTGACCATACTGGTTGTTAAAATAGTAACATACCTTTGTACTGTAAATAGATAGATACTGCCTTAAATGTTTTGAGTACCCACCCTCCCCTTACCCCCTTCAGGACTCCCAGGTCTTCTTATGGTCCAGTACATGGAAGGTCAACAGCTGGCCTAGCTGGGCCTCTTCCTCCTGCTCCCACATTGTGACACCGATTCTGACACGTTGGGTAAGCCCCTCAGTACAGGTTGTTACATATTTTGAAGATAACTTCTGATTTAACCAGAGAAATCAAGGAATGATTATTCACATCACAAAACCTTTCCTTTCTCTATAAAATTATCATAGAATTCCTTTAAAGAATCTCTACTTAAATGCAGACCTTTTCAACAAACTATGTGGACAAATTAAACATCCTCATTTCATCATCTGAGCACCAGAGGTGTTGGACGAATTGTCCAAATAATTGCCTCACTGCAACCGAACTTAATTTATGAGCCAGAAGCAGAAACAGTAGAAAAGTTCAGTTCAATCTCTAGCTTCTCGCTGATGGCTGGACACTGGTCAGAATGGTTTGTCGGGAAAAGGCTTCCCCTGCTCCCCTGTTTAAGCTTCTCTGGATGATACTCGTACAACACAGAGGAAAACAGTACAGTCGGTCACATGCACGAGACATTTGAGATAATGAACTTACTCTTGTGGTCTTAATCTTATTGCCTGTGGCGCACATCCATCCGGAATTGTCAGGGAGCGTCTTACATTCTTCTCCCTCAAGACAAGGCTCCATCTCACACCACCATTTCCCAATCACTATGGAGGCTGTTCAGAAACAGGAAACAAGTGTTTGCGATTCACTCACACAGCCCGGCCCTGCTGCGGCTCGCTCCGCTGATATAGTGCTCTCTGAAGCAGCAGGTCTTCTTTACCCTTCCGCGGCTGGCTAAGGATACTCTATTTAGAAGAATAAAATTTAAATTTACGCCTTACAATGCAAATGGAATTATGTCGTCTGGTTTCATCAAACAGCATTTGGTCAAAAATCCCCTGGTATGATGAAATGATATGGACTGGAAAGACTTAATTTTTGGAAGAAGTTTTATCTTGTTATTTTTTTGTAAAATCAAAATCGTGTACTATTTCTTTCCAGTGAAGGGGACAAATTGCCAACTGCTGTTCAGAATGACAGCCATTTTTTTCAGAAAGACCAGTTCATCCATCCAGCTTTAGGGTTTATTCCCCGGCCTAGGGCTGGTGAGAATTTTAACGGCCTACAAAAAGGAAAAGATGAATCGATGGAAAGTACAAAAGAAAACCTGCAAAAAAAGGAGTAATAATAAATAAAAATATTGTTTACAGTCAAAAGTATATCTGATACAGGCTGTTTTCTATTGAATATGTTTGACTTGAAGTGGGTGAAACTTTCAAAAGCTGAGTCCCTGATGGAACAGCCCTACCTTCTGGGCCACATCAGGGTGGGGGAGGTGGGGAAGCTGGCAGAGAACTTGGGGATGTTGACAGCCCACTGTTCTTGACAATGAGGTTTTACACAAGCGCTAGGCTGACTCACTCTTAGTGCCCGGGGTGAAAGCCCTCTGTGGGCAAAATCCTGCTCCACTTTTCTTTTTTTTTAAATTAAAAAAATTATTTATATTGATTTCAGGGAGGAAGGGAGAGGGAGAGAGAGATAGAAACATCAATGATGAGAGAGAACCATTGACTGGCTGCATCCAGCACGCCCCCTGACTGGGGATCAAGCCCACAACCCAGGCATGTGCCCTTGACGGAAATCGAACCTGGGACCCTAGAGTCCACAGGCCAATGCTCTATCCTAGCGTTTCTCAACCTATGGGTTGTGACCCCTTTGGGGGTTGAATGACCCTTTCACAGGGGTCTCCTAAGACCATCGGAAAACACATATATAATTACATATTGTTTTTGTGATTAATCACTATGCTTTAATTATGTTCAATTTGTAAAAATGAAAATACATCCTGCATATCAGATATTTACATTACGATTCATAACAGTAGCAAAATTACAGTTATGAAGTAGCAACGAAAATAATTTTATGGTTGGGGTCACCACAACATGAGGAACTGTATTAAAGGGTCGCGGCATTAGGAAGGTTGAGAACCACTGCTCTATCCACAGAGCCAAACCAGCCAGAGCCTGCTCAGCTTTTCCATTCAAAGTCTTCAAAGCCTCTGATTGGCTGATTTGCAGGACTGGAGTCTAGTCCTTCACATCATCACTGTTAGGCACATTCTTGCCCCTCCCCAGATTTTCCTGTTATTCTCATTGTAGGTTTCAGGACTGGGTTCCCAGTAAGCCGCCTCACCCAGTTTCCAGTGACCGCCCACACCTGGCCCACCTGCGCCTGGTCCCACCCGCTGCTCTGGGGGACCTTCAGAGGAGACATAAATATCCGCTCCCCCTCCCCTGCCGCTCACACCGCACCCTGGTCTCCCGGCAGTGAGAGAAGGTGATAACATTTCTTAACCACTGCATAAAACCTTTGGTTAACAAAAAGGAGCTAATAGTCATGCTATTTAACCGTTTTTGTAATATTTTTCTTATGGCTACATTTATCATAATAAAAAATTAATATTAAAAAGTCTTAGATGTCTTGTATGATAATAAAAATGATAACTGACCTTTTTGTAACCTTTTTAGATGTGTCTGTGTTAGGCACTTTAAAAGAATTGTATTAGTCTTCACATCAACCTCAGAAAGTGGGGAGCACTCTGAACCCATTCTGCAGATGAGCAAGCTGAGCCCGTGTCCTGGCTGACAGGGAGGGAGTGCAGGAGTCAACACTAGCATCCAGGCGGGCCTGACCACAGCGCTCCCGGTTTCACCCTTCTAAGGCTCACGCATCCTAGTTTTGTGTTAAGGATTCACAGAAGTTAACAAAGCATTTATTGACCGCTGAGTGGAGGAATGAGCGCTCTCTGCTCTATTACTGTGGACAATAAATTTCAAGCCGACACACTTGTGGAAAAAAAATACATTTGGTTTCTTGTAAAATTAAGTTAATTTAAAAATAATTCAGGCAAGAAGGCAGTTTATATTATGCTTAGTTCTTCCTAGTCTGAGTTACACATGGCTTAATTTCATTAGTTACAGCATTTTAATAAAATTCCTGCTAGTGAATACGTTTGGAAGCCGAGAGAAACTTTGGAGGTAGATGCATAATTCTGTAAAAACTTCCCTCCCTGAGAAGAACCAAGTTAACGAAATATCAGCTGGAAACCCCTCTTGCTTATCTGTGGCGATTACAAACGAGGGTCTTAAAGGTGCCTTAGCCCTGGGGTTCTGGGATTTGCTCGATGACTGTGCCATGTTCAGAAAAATAGCTGATCTTCAACTTTGTAAAGAATGCTCAGCTTTCCTTGAGAGTCTCAAACCCACTAAAGCCACGTTAATCATGAGTCTCGATTTCGCCCTTACACAGGGTCACATTGCTGTAGAGAAAAAAGAGAGACTGTAACGAAGAATCAATCTGTCTTTCAGGGATAAACCTTAAATAGGCACAAATCCTTTCTATCTTATTGTTGGTCGCTTGCAGGCATTTCCCCGTGGGAACAGAACAGGGTACTAATAAGCGGTGGGCTTAATAAACACGGCAAATACACATGGTATTGCCTAAGAAGTGTAGTCCCTTTCTATAATTTCAATAGAAATGTTTGCTTTTTAATTCAGTACTTTCCTTTGTAAAGCACTCCAGTTTGCGGAGACTGTAAAACAAGGAACATGACCTAGCCCTGCCCTCAGAGCTTACACTTCAGCTCAGGCCTCTCAACATGGGCGCTATTGGCTGTGAGGCCTGCATTACGGAGGCATAAACGAGCCAAGTGCTGGGCCAGCAGCAAGCCCTGCATTGTGTCAGAAGCGCAGGCTCCCAGCGGACAGCAGCCCGAGAAAACCTAAACAGGAGAGCTCTCAAAAGCAAGGAGCTTGAGCTTTTAAATTTTTTTTATTGTAATTTTTAAAGGAATGGTAAGTCAGTAAAGATTCATATTTGGTGAGCAAAGGGAAGATGTGATTACACGGGTGGTTGGGGAAGCACTAGCAGAGCATCTGGCATTAGTATATTTACTGTAAATGTTACCATCACCATCATCACCTTGGCAGTGTCGTGCAAGATGGAAGAAGACAGAAGCAAGCTGCTGAAATGTCAGTAAGCACCACAGCTTCAAACAGAGAAGGGATAAGGGCTTGATTTTTGGATGCCTCCTCTGCAGTTGTGAAGAATGGCAGAGTTGCAACTGAGGAAACATTATGGCCAGTAACTCAACCCTAACCACGTTGGACTCAGCCATCAGCTCATGTGCCTGCCTACTTGCCAGGCAGTGAATGCCTTGAGGATCATGCTGCATTCATCTTTGAATGGCATAGAATTTGTCAAAACTGGTTTGCAACTTATAAATGAATAAAAAATGAAACAAAACGAGAAAGAAAACATAGTGCCTATGTCAAAGGATGGGGAGGATCACATGAAAAATGCATGCGAAGCACCAGCAGAGCATCTGGCGTTAGTAAATGTACAATAAATGCTAGCTATCATCATCATCAACAGCAGCAGCAGCAGCCGCCACCCATTTTTATTACTCTAAAGAATAAAATCACTCCAAAGCAGAGAAGGCATTCATCACAAAGTTAGAGAGAAAACCACTGTTCTTCGATATTATGCCAAACTCTTAGCTCACTTCTATGACTTATGAAAGTTTCAGCATAAATTAAATGGTTGAACATATCGTTTCATTCATGTTCCCAGAAGTAGGTTATGAGTACATCAATCAAGAACAAGTTTAGGCTCATTTTTGTGCAACCTGTCATACAGTTTAAAGCAGTGGCTGGAACTCCATCAGCAGGGACTGGGCAGCTAGCTCGCTAGCCTCCCCTTTGCACAGGTGGTTGGAACAGGTGTTACAATGCTCTTTTTCAAAAGACCTGCAGTGGCTCTCTGTGTGTTACTGTCTTCATCAAAGCAGAAAATTAAAGGCTTTGAATACTATGCCTGCAGTCATTCCAAACCCCCTCTTTCCTCTGAGCCCACATTTCAGGACAGGATTTATACAGAGGCACGTGTAAAGACTGAGGTAAGCTCTTGGGCATGTGATAGAAGAACCTGGGTTTGGAAGTTAACCCTACCTCTTCCTGGCGGTGTGTCTAGGGAAAATTCCCCAGTTCTAGTCTCAGGTTCCAGAGTTATAAATGGAGTTAAAAATCACTACGGCTTCTAGTGAATTTTAGATGAGATAAAGTACTTAGCATAGTGCCTAATAAGCTTTATACTCAACACATGGCAATTGTTCCTATTATGTACCCATGCACTCTCTATCCAGCTAAGTATGCATCCATACAACTACTGTTTTAGAGAGCTAATGCTTTATCTTTAATGGAAGCATATACTAATTCTTGGATGTATATATTATTTTTTTACTGACTAGACTGTATTTCTTTGTAGGATTTACAATATATTTCTTTTTTGTTGAACTTATTGGGGTGACATTAGTTAATAAAATTATGTAGGTTTCAGGTGTACAATTCTACATCATCTGCATATTGTATTTTGTGTTTGCCACCCAAGTCTAGTCTCCTTCCATCACCATTTATCCCCCTTTTACCTACAATATATCCCAAAGTCATAACAGCTGGTGATGGGGTTATTGGCATTGCTCTCCTATACCAGTGGTTCTCAACCTTGGCTGCACATTAGAATCACCTGGGAATCTTTTTAAAATCCTGATTTCTGGGCCTCATCCTCCGGAAATTCTGTTTCTTTGTTATGGGGTGGAGCCACAACATTAGTAATG